TGCAAGGAAAGTTGGCTCCCTGAGCCGTGCCAGGAAATTTTTCTCCCCGGAATCGATCCTTCAGATCTACAAATCAACAATTTTCCCTTGCATGGAGTATTGCTGCCATATATGGTCTGGTGCCCCTTCTGTTTGCCTCGGGGTTCTTGATAGGCTCCAGAGGCGGATATGCAATGTAGTTGGCCCTGATCTGGCATCTTGTCTACAGTCACTTTCTCACAGATGCGCCGTCGCCTCCCTCTTTCTGTTCTACAAATACTTTCATGGAAATTGCTCCGAGGAGCTGCATTTGCTGGTTCCCAGTTGGCATGAGTTCAAGCGCCCTACGAGGCTGGCATCCCGCTCTCACCCCTTCACTGTCGAAACTCCTAAATGTAGCCGTCTCTTCTACTCCAATAGCTTCATGTCTCGCATCTCTCGCCTGTGGAACTCCCTTCCCTATTCCTGTTTCCCTGAGAGCTATAATCTCCAACTATTCAAATGTAATGTCAATCAACATCTTCAGTTGCCTTGATCTATCCACTACCCTCCTCCTCATCCTTTCTTCTATCACTCCTATCTGATCTCACTCTAAATTTTCTGTAACCCCTTGCATCCTAGTGGCTTCCCGCCTTGCTTGGGGTGAAATGCTTAAAAAAAAAAATAAAAAAAATAAACCTATTGGCATGTTTATTGTCATTTCTTTAAAGTCTTTGTCAATAGGTATTTGATAGTATGCTAACTTTAGATCAATTTTAGAGAATGTTTTGATAGCTGCAAGGGAGTTCAAAGCACATTCTACATTGGGGATAGGATATAAGTATGCAAATATTATGTAGTTTACACTTATTTTGTAGTCACCACAAATGTAGAGATCCCCATTCTTCTTTCTTAAAATTATTAGCAAGAAGACCCATTTGCTTCCTCCTTGTGGAACTCATTCAAGTAGATTTTTTTCTAGTATTTCGTTTTGGTTTTTCCACAACTATTAGTAGTAGATGGACTGGTACTTTTTGTGCTTGAAAATATGAGGGGGAGACATTTTCCTTTAGTTTTAACTTTGCTTTATAGTTTTTTTAACATTCCAGTTTATTGTGCCTTGATTCTGTTTACGAATTTTGTTGAATTTATGTTCAATACATCAGTTTTTATTAGACCATCATTCCTTTCACAGTTTGGCATGATAATTGGTAATATGTCAAACTTATTTTTTAGTTTCATGTAGGCTTCAAAATAGCCTTTTATCATGGTTTCTGTCGAACTGATTCAATTGGACAAGGCTTTTTTTTAATCTTGGTTTTCCTAATTTCTTCTAGAAATTCCTTGTATCAACGTTACATCACTTCCCATTTCTAGATGTATGTCCAATAAAACATTATTGATTTGAATTTTTAATAACTCTTTTTTTTTTTTTTTTTTTCAATGTAAGAAATCCATACTTGTTTCCTTTTCATTTTGTTGTACAATCTACATTTTTTTTTTTTTGATTTACACATGCATTTAAAATGATTCCATTTGAAACACTTATCCCATTTTTTTCTTATATACTGGACATCTTTGTTTTTCTCCTTGATGTTGATATCCATAAAAGGTACACATTATTTTACCTTTTTTCTTTATTGCATGTGTCCATTTTCTCTACCAGATTTGTAATTTTTGTTCTACTAAACTTTCAAATTTTTGTTGCTGAATAAATTTGACACACTATTCTAGAGTCATTTGCCAATACTCCTCATTTTGAAGGCCATTTACCAATTTCATTTGGATCAAATCCTGTTTGATTGACTGGTTTTCTGATCCAAGTTTCTCAAATCCACAATATTTAGCGGCCTGTTTTAAACAAAGAACATATTCAATAACTGGTTCATTCACTTTTTGAGAAATATTCATGGACTTAGCTCTCTCTGCATTCACTAGTTTTTTCTTGGGTGCTATGTTTTTCACTATTAGTTGTCTTGGGTGTGCAATTGCTGATAATTTTATAATGACCTCACAACCAGCAGTTGCCTACAAGAGATTTGGTTTTCTCTTCCAACTGATTTTAAATCCTTCAGTGTTTTTGTTCTAGCTTTAACTGCTAGTATCCTAAGCCATGCTTATGCATATTCATAATTATCCAGTGATGATTGTTCGTTCAGTTCTTCAGATATGAGTGCCATCATTATAGTGTAGCATTACTGACTCAGGAGAAGTAGGATGCACTTAACTATCTAATGGTATCTTTGTGGTTCCTATGTAAATGAGTCACCTCAGTAATGAAACAGGTAATGTAGGACTTGTCTATAGATTTGGGGAGGTGGATAGTTTTAGCAGTCATTCCTAAAAGAACATTATTCCTATGTCACACTCCATGTGTCAGTGATTTCTGTTTCCATTTTTAACATGATCCATAGAGATCCAATCATGAATTTTTACATGGTTGGTTTGCTAGCCAAACATTTTTGATAGATTATCTAAAGGGCTTCAGCTGCACTGTCATTAACTCATAGGGTGTGTAAATTTACAAGTTTACTAAAAGATATGTACCAGCTACAATGCAATATTCATTATTTACCCTGTTATAAAGAAATAACTATGAAAACCATTTCCTATTCATAAAAATGCCTGTGAAAAATAGAATAAGTAAACATATAATGATGAGTAACTGTAATCAGACAGACAATGTTCTTTTAAGTATCCCAAAAGACTAAACATTAGCTGCAAGAAGATTGTGTTAAATTTATTTCAATAATTTCTCATTCTGAGTTGTTAACCATTACACTACTTGCACTGTTAAACTCTTTCTCTCTGGGTGGCATATATATATATATATATATATATATATATATATATGTCTTACCAGTTTGTGACTGGAAGGGATATAAATCCAGGGAGAGCTCAATGTAGACTACAGAGCATTATAATGATAATAAGAAGATGGAGACTTTAATTATCCATTTCGATTATAAATTTATTTTGTGAACACTGTGATGTTCAACTCTTCAGATCGAAATCTCCTCAGTAAACATATATATATATAAAGCTAGCTCAATGATTGGTTAATAATAATCTTATTACTGTTCCCATGCAAATAACTTAGCAGTGCCACCTGTGTAGATCTACCTTTTCCAAATTGCCATTTTGCCAAGGTGAATTAACTCAACAGATGTATATATGATTGTCAGTAATAGGGACAACCTATGATATGAGTTACATATTGGGGATGAGAAAATCAAAAAGATGCAGAAATTTTATTAACTGGATATTTTAGTAGTAGATGACTGAGAGTGTTACATTGAAATCAGAAGTTGCAAATGAATAGTGAAAGATACCTTTAAGAAACTGAGTAAAGTAATAAGTGATCCAAATATCTCCTTAGAAAAAAACTGGGAAAAGTTTAACAAATTTAAAGGTAAATTTGTGTAAAATGGACGTTTTTCTTTTGACACTGTTATTCTTGTATACTCCCTTGATAATGTTTTATTATTTTTAAAAGCTATTTTCAAGAATTTTAATAAAACCTCAAAATATGAAACCTGATTTTTACATTGTCTTTCTTGAGAATTTACAACAAAAAAAAAAATAAAATAAAAAAATGTCCTTTTGACACACTGTTTTTTGTGGGTATGTTTGGTAAACTTTGCCAACTGTCTCAGCTCGAGTTTGAATTTGGTTTACTGATTAAATGTCTATTGAGACTCAAGTTCATTCCAAAGTACAAAATGTTCTGAGTATGACAATAAACTACATTCAGCAGCAAGGCCTCTGATCAGGAACTTCTAAGTGATGTGGAACCACCTCTTAATTGCTGTTGTTTCCAGGTCCACCCTGACCCGAGGTAGGGTCCCATCTATGGGCAAATAGTTAAACCCCCAAACTGGGGTCAAAACATTATAAAAGTATAAAAATAGATTTTTATAGTAAAAATACCAGCAAGGTATTTTTGAAAAAAAAAAATAATTGCCATTAATACATTTTTTTAAGTAAAAAAAAAAAAAGAATTACCAGTAATTTATGAAGAAGAAATTACTAATGCTCCCAAGAAAATAAAATTTCAGCATTAAATAACTCATAAGGAGTTGATTTGCCACTAAACAAACAAACGAATCTATTGTAAAAATCTTATCAGCATTAAATAACCCATTGAAAACAAAATAAATGCAATCGAAACCACAAAGTCATTATGTATATATGATCTGTTATTGAAGACGGAAAAATTTCTAATATAAGAAGTTATCATTATTTATATTATTTACATACAAAATAATGTTGTTATCTTTGTTGTTATTAGCCATGATTGCCTTTTATGTGCTGCATCCATTCAGAGCATTAGTGATCATGGCTCTCTACTATTTCCTATCCTTTGTAGCTTATAGTTAATTTTGTCTTTTTGATACCACTCCTAAACCCTGTTCTGCCATCCATTTTAGTCAAACTCACTAGATGGGTTATGCAATGTTTTCCTCTGTCCCTCTTGCTTTCTATATGCTCTGTGAGTGTTAAATTTTCCAAACCCTCTTTCTTCATTATGTGTGCAAGAAATTTCAGTTATCTCTTTCTGATATTAAGTAGTACTGTTTAATTTAATTTTTTTGAATTTTGATACTGCACTAGCATTTGGCAATAGATTTCTGCAGGTTTGACTCCATCTTTCCACAGAAAATGCACAACAACATATTGTTTCTTGATGGTGCAATTGCCAAGTAGAATGTCCATACATCTGACCTCATTGTTCTCTGCCATTTATGGAATGCTGTGCACAGCTGTCTACCCACCATCCCATGTGCTAGCCTGCTGTCAGTGCCTCCCTGTTGCTTTTCATGCATAATTTCAAAATTGCTTTCACTTCCTGGTTAACTCTTGTATATAATGTTCATTTTATGTATAGCTGATTGTGATATAATGATATAATGTTTACATAAATAAGGCATATCATATAATGTTCATTTTATGTATAGCTGATTGTGATATAATGATATAATGTTTACATAAATAAGGCATATCATATAATGTTCATTTTATGTATAGCTGATTGTGATATAATGGTATAATGTTTACATAAATAAGGCATATCATATAATGTTCATTTTATGTATAGCTGATTGTGATATAATGATATAATGTTTACATAAATAAGGCATATCATATAATGTTCATTTTATGTATAGCTGATTGTGATATAATGATATAATGTTTACATAAATAAGGCATATCATATAATGTTCATTTTATGTATAGCTGATTGTGATATAATGATATAATGTTTACATAAATAAGGCATATCATATAATGTTCATTTTATGTATAGCTGATTGTGATATAATGATATAATGTTTACATAAATAAGGCATATCATATAATGTTCATTTTATGTATAGCTGATTGTGATATAATGTTTACATAAATAAGGCATATCATATAATGTTCATTTTATGTATAGCTGATTGTGATATAATGTTTACATAAATAAGGCATATCATATAATGTTCATTTTATGTATAGCTGATTGTGATATAATGATATAATGTTTACATAAATAAGGCATATCATATAATGTTCATTTTATGTATAGCTGATTGTGATATAATGATATAATGTTTACATAAATAAGGCATATCATATAATGTTCATTTTATGTATAGCTGATTGTGATATAATGATATAATGTTTACATAAATAAGGCATATCATATAATGTTCATTTTATGTATAGCTGATTGTGATATAATGATATAATGTTTACATAAATAAGGCATATCATATAATGTTCATTTTATGTATAGCTGATTGTGATATAATGTTTACATAAATAAGGCATATCATATAATGTTCATTTTATGTATAGCTGATTGTGATATAATGATATAATGTTTACATAAATAAGGCATATCATATAATGTTCATTTTATGTATAGCTGATTGTGATATAATGATATAATGTTTACATAAATAAGGCATATCATATAATGTTCATTTTATGTATAGCTGATTGTGCATGTCTGATGTTTTCTTCACTCATTTACAGTTCATACTTGAAGTTTTTCTTGTTCTGTTTTAGATTGCTGATTATGCAAGCAAACAGTGGGCTGGACTTATAAAACAGTAAGAACTTGCATTTTACAAAATATCCTTTTTTCTTCAGAAAAATGATTAAGAAATCATTACTGTGGTCATGTTCTCTCCACTTAACCATGGATTCAATGATCTACAGTCAATTCTACAAATAAGCAATTTGTGAATTTTACTTAAGATTGGTAATGCTGGCAGTTTTGATATGCAAAACAAATTAAAAATGGTGTAAAGTGTTTCAGTAAAGTTTAACTTTGGACCAGGCTAAAACAAAAAAAAAGAAAAATCTGTAGAGCATTTCAGCAAAGTTTAACTTTGAACTGGACATAAAAAGAATGGTGTAAGGTGTTTCAGTAAAGTTTAATTTTGAACTGGACATAAAAAATGGTGTAGAGTGTTTTAGCAAAGTTTAACTTTGAATTTGGCATAAAAAAATGGTTTAAAATATTTCCAGAAAGTTTAGCTGTGGATTAGGCAAAAAAAAAAAAAAATCTGTTGGGTGTTTCAGCAAAGTTTAACTTTAACCCAAGAAAAAAAAAAAAAAACAACTGTAAAGTGCTTCAGCAAAGTTTAACTTTAACCCAAGCAAAAAAAAAAAAAAACAACTGTAAAGTGCTTCAGTAAAGTTTAACTTTGGACTGGGCATAAAAAATATTGGTGTAGAGTGTTTCAGCAAAGTTTAACTTATAGGCCGAGCATAAATATATATCGTTATTCCATATATATATATATATATATATATATATATATATATATATATGGGATAATGATATATAAATTTTTATATATATCAAGAAAAGATGTATGACAAAGTGGAAAAAGTTTTTGTTTATGTTGATGTGACTATACATGAACAGGGGCACCTCGAGGTGGTGTAATGGTTAGCAAGCTTGTCTCGCTAGAAATATTACGACTTAGTAGTGAGTTCGATCCTCACTGGGTGCCTCATACTTTCGACCTTGTGCCACATCTGAGCTACGTGAGGAAAATTACTACATGCACATGAACAAGAGACACTGGGAATTTTAAATTTAAAAAATTTTTTTTAAAAAATATATTTTGGGTCTATAATTTTTATGCCTTTTGATCTATAATCTAGTCAATTTCCTTTAGATTTTTTTTTTTTTTTTGTTTCCATCATCTTTGTTATTAAATATCACACATTGTGATAATAGAAGATCTGCCAAGAATGGCGAAACCTGGACGCAAATTTAATAGCAAAAAAATCAAAACGAAAAGAAAAAGAATCTGTATGAAATTAGCTACATTATCTAACCAAGAGACATTATGAAAAAAAAATTTTTTTTTCAAAATTTAAAATTCCCAGTATCTCTTGTTCATGAGCATGTGTAGTTGCATCAGCATAAACAAATCTAGTCTAATGAGGTGAAACAGATCACACAAAAACTTTTGCAATTTATATATATATATATATATATATATATATATATATATATATATTGTGTAGGAATCTACCACCCCTCTTGAAGATGAACTCGTCTACAAACAAGGACGTTAACTAGTGGCATGTCAAAAAGACAGAGTAGAAGAAGTTCTGAGCTGAGTTAGTTATAGACTACTCAGGCGATATCTGTACCAACTTACCAACCTAATAAACCCCATTTTATTGTTACATGTTATTTGGCGTTTGTCTTTATTAACCCTAAATTAACATCATAATTAATATATATATATATATATATATATATATATATATATTTATTTAAAATATGATTCTATCACTACATAAAGTTCTCATGTTTTCAAAACAAAAGCGAAAACGTCAATATAATTATTTGAATTAAATTGAATTAAAGTACCAAGCTCTAATTCAAATAATTATATTGAAGTTTTCAGCCTTTGTTTTGAAACATGAGAACCTTTATGTAGCGATCGAATCATATTTTAAATAAATAATTATATTTATTCTCTACTTTTGTATTGAGCACTATTTTTTAAAATAATAAAAAAAATACTAAAGAACTTTGGATTATTTACCTAACGAGTTCTTTCCTATTTTCTATATATTTTGCACACACACACACACACACACACACACACATATATATATATATATATATATATATATATATATATATATATATATATATAGTGGCTGTCAACCCCAAAGCAAGTATGACAATCACTGACATGTCCAGTCCATCAGTTAAGCTCCCCCCAACACTGCATTCATTTGTTGTATGAATAACAGTGGCTCATAAAGCCAGCCATCGATCTGCATTTCTTGTTACATATATGGCATGTCAAATCATCTCTGGGTGGTGGAAGTTGACTTTGAACATCATCACTTCCAATGTGTCTTTTCATATGTCTTGTCAAGCCTGACATGGTCTTGCACACTCTAGTGCAGGTCAGGCATTCAGATCATGCCAATATGAAATTGTCATATGCAATAGACTGTTGGTGTTGGTGTGATTTCTGGATATATCCAATTGCATTGGGCACATGGCCAGGTTGGCACCTCGTGTCAATTCAGGGATCTCTTCTGAATTCCTCTCTTCAGTTCTGCATATTTTTGTGATGCCTAATGGAAGATCTTGACACCATCAGCAATACCAGCTCTCCAAGGAACCAGTTAGAGTCTTCCAGGTATCCAGACCAATATTGCACTTGTATAGTGACTCTTTAAAGGCAATCTTTGTAACAAAGTTTTGGCTGCGGTCTTTTATTTTTCCCCATTTCCAATTCTCCATACATTGTTTTGGCATTCTGTCATCCAGTATAATAACATGGCCTGTCCATCGCAATCTGTATTTGTGTATAATTGCTTCAAAATATAATAATATATATATTACAGGGCGTGATGGATTAATTGTCATCTAAATTATGCAAAAATGAAAATAACACTGAAATCTCATTTTAATAGATATATTTACCAAAATTACACAAAAATATCTCGAAATACTAAAGAGTAAATTTATTCAATAAAATCACCATTAGCTTCAACCACAGCCTCTAGAAGACTTCAGAATCTCCTGTAACTCTTCTAGAAGGTCTCCTTGTTTAAGTTGGTGAATGCTGTCATAATCATTGCCTTCAGTTCATCTTTGGTATTACAAGGAGTTTTGTTGGTCTCTCACTCAACTGCACCCCACATGTAATAATCAAGGGGGTTGCAGTCTGGGGAGTTAGGTATTGTGGTTGCCAAAATTGTCTGACAGCTATTACTGGGTTCTTCAGCTTGTGTGGCATGGTGCAGAGTCCTGTTGCCAGATATAAGTTCTTCCAGCAGACACTCTCTTCACCCAGGGCAGCACTACCTCCTCAAAGCACTTGATGTAGACCTCTGTATTGAGTCTAAGGCCATCACTAACAAATTCAGGAGTTTTTTTCTTATCAGAACAATAAGAGTGAGTTTTCCAAGCTGGCATACCTTTGTAACCACAATTAGGCTCATCCAGCTCTTTCCAAATCCTCTGCACTGTCTGCAGGTTGACACCCAAACACTCAGAAATGCTCATATTAGAGCTTCTGGCACAAATAACAAGTAGTAGAGTGTGCTGTTTTCTAGTTTCTGTCAGAGTGAATTGCATCATGATGCTCTTTTTCTCACAGACAGTGCCCAACTGACCCTACTGTACTGTGTATTTGACTAAATCAAAAACAAACACTATGCATATGTGAAATTAAAAATATAAAATGGTGACAATTTACCCATCACATTTACCCATATATATATATATATATATATATATATATATATATATATATATAAAAAAGGCTCAAATTTGTAGGTCTGATGAATTGCATTGTGATTATGATTCCAATGTAATAAGTTATAACCATGGAATATTAGTGTTTGAGCCTTTTTATATTCTTACTCTGTCCTGGACATTGACTTCTACCTGGATTCTATCCTCTTGAGAATTTTATATATATATATATATATATATAAGTGAACATAGAAGTCAACACTTAGAGGCAACAGTCTGTTTCATGCTAGATGTAATTGTCAGGCCAAAATCATCCCTTCCAAAATCTAAGCAAAGTATTAAGAAAAAAGTAAATTTTGTTAGAAATATAAGAAAGAGTAATGAACTGTTATATAATATCATTCCTCCTGTATGGAAGTGAATACTAGATAATCTCCTCACAGATATAGAAGAGATTTGAAGCAACAGAAATATAGTTCTACAGAAGGATGCTGAGAATACCATGGACTGAACATGTGATCAATATTGAAGTCTTAGAGATAATGGAAACAAAAAGAGAGCTTATACTTAACATCCGGAGGAGACAGTTGAAATTTCTTGGGTACAATAATGAGGAAAGTGGGCTTGGCAAATTTGATACTCACTGAACAGATTGAAGACAAGAGGGAAAGAGGCAAACAATGTATAAGCTACTTAGTGAGCTTAGGTAAATGGATGTTAAAAAAAAAGGTTTAGGGGGAGATTACAAAAAGAAAAAAATTATGAATAGCTACAAAGAACAGGAAATTGTGGAGATTCCTGAAGGGAGACAGCACATAAAAGAAGTGAGAAAGTGATACAAACAAACTCAATTTAAATTTAAACTTCCATTTTCAATTACCTTTTCTGATTTGAGTATTCTTATACCACTGTGCAAAGGATATTAAACTTAAAGCTGCTTACGAATATCTAATTCATTGTTGAAGATGACAGTTTAATGAAAAATCTTGGATAATTTTTAAACATGTTTTCATTTACTTTTTTTGCAGTTATTACTCCCCTAGATGGGGTATATTCACCAAGATGTTACTGAATTCACTTCATACTGTAAGTTGAACTACAATAGTTTTCTATCCTATTTGGTTTACTTATTGAAAGAAAGGTTTAATGGCTAATTTTGGTCATAAAATAAACTTGAACCCAAGGGAATTGTACAAAATTAATAAGGAGTTTGTTGATATCTTTTGTAAACCTTAATTGTAAATATATTTATATAATTGTAAATATAATTATATATACTTTTAAGAATTAAACTGTTTAGAAATATTAGACATTATTTTATATAAAACAAGTTCTTCAGCCAAAAAGAAAATTGAAATTAGAAGACAACATAGTGTATAAGATTGTATTATAAAATTAATTGAATATTATTATAAAAATAAGATATTGTTTATTTATTCAAAGCTATGTGCTCTAAATTTATCCATTCAAAATATTTACTAGGAATCTATTTTATTTGTTTCATTCTTGGAAAAATTGTTTGCTCATTCTATCACTTTAGTATGTATTTGAATCCCTCTGCTTTACAAAAATCAGATCAGACCAAAAATTGACTATTGCTGCCATATTTGGGCTGGAGCTACTTTCAATCTTTAATAGGGTTCAAAATGATTTGTATGGTCTTGTGGGAGGATGACTTATTTTCCACTCTGTAGCTTCTTTCCAACAAATGCAATGTTGCAAAACATTTGCTACTCTATTGTTGTGGGTGTTATATTAGCCTCCAAAACAGATATTGACTGACGGAAGACGAGAACAAACAAAATGAAGACTTGAATAAAAAATATATTGCCAAGTTTATTTTTCTTAAAGAAAATAAATACATCAACAAAATAAGGTTACAGTGCACTAAGCAAAAAATATCTCTGCATGCTCTGAGAAGGACAATTTTGGTAGTCATTATCTTGAAAAGACTAATTTTTAATCAGTGAAGAGCATTTTTCTGAAAAGGACAGTTTATTGCATATCATTGCTGCTGGCAAGGATGGCTGGCTGGAGCAGTTGCTGATGGGAAGCTGCAGCTGTGACCATGATGGCCAGCAGTCGGCTGCTGGAACAGATACTACATTTTAATCCTAGTTATCTGGGCCACAGAATGCTACTTTTTGAGCTTTGAGGCCTTTTTATATCTTGAATCAGTTTTACTATGATCACTAGTGAAACTTTTTCTTCTGGTTGTTTTTAAAAAATGTGGGAATGTCGACAGGATACAACACTATCAATATTCCCATAGCAATTGTTCAGATGATCTTTAGTCCCACTAGCTCAGAGCTTTATAGCTAGAACATTATGCCACTTCTACAGAGTCAAATTGCCCTCATTTTCTCCATGTTTCAAATATAAGAACAAAGTTCTATTCAGACAGCCTTTTTTCCAAGAAGTGCCACTTTGTTGAACAGACTCCTGTGTGGGTGCTTCCCTGAACACTTCAGTCTTGACCTCTTCAGGTCAAGGGTTAATCTTAAATCTTTATTTCCTACACTGTCTTTTACATTCATCTCACACACTACATTCACTATTACTATTTTGACTGTAACCCTCTATGTTGAGTGGGTGTCAAGACTTGTATTTGGTGAAATTTAGTATAAAAAAACTTAAACTATTTCAAATTCCAAATTTAATTCAAACTTAAAACAATTTGTTGTTAATAATAAAATTATGTTTATATTAGGAGTGTTTTGTGGTTATTATAGAAAGTCTTGATCAATTGGGAAATGCCAACATGCTATACAGTCTAGTTATTACTTTAATTAAAACTTATGCAAGTCTCTAAGCTAAAATCACCAAAGGGAAGTAACTCCTATTAATATTAAAAAGTTAGAGTTAATCCCCTTAGAATGTTAACCGCTTCAAGGCAGTAAATTCTTCAAAAATGTTTCTTGTCTGAATTTTTTTTAATCGAATTTATCCAAGTAAGACAGTAAAGTCACTAAGACACAAGCGGTTACTGGGTGTGAAAGAATTAGAAAACAGAAAAATGAAAGAGCGAGAACAATAGAAGAATAATCAGGAAGTCAGTAGATAATGATTGACATTGCTTAAATTAGTAAAGTCTATGTATCATAGTGAAGAGCTTATCCAAAAAATTATCATTAAAGTATTTATAGAAAGGCCCAAGGAAGCAACATGAAGTGAAAATAATAAATTAAGAATATTATTGAAGAATAAAAAATCTTAAGGAAGACCCTGCACACATAATGTTCAAATCATTTGATCAGCTGGTTAAGCACAGATATCAATTGCATATGGGAGCCAACAATAAAAAGAAAATAATGATGACTTCCAAAAACATAACCACAAAAATATAACTGCTGGTGAAAAATTAATGATAGAATAGAGTGATATGTCTAATTTGTTGAATGTTTGAAGTAAGAAATTATTAATATTTTAAAAAGTTATAACTATGTTTGTTTTCTTTGCAATGATAAATGTTTTGAATCTAAACAATAATTTAAATGCCAAACATGAAAACACTGAGTGAGCAAATTTATTAAAATGTTTTTATTCTGTTCTGTTTAAATAAAAAATAATGTTTTTAAAATAATGCTTTTTTTAAAATTTTATCTACCAGGGTATTCCATATAGTCAACGAGACTTTGATTACAAAGTATTTTATGAAGTTGAACAACCTTTCACCTTTGATATATCCATTTTCCCTACCCAACCTGAAGGTGAGCATTTTGCATTTATTTGATTCCCAAATAGATATTTTTTAGAATAAGTTATTAACCAGACCTTTGAAATTAGATGGTTGCTTGTAATTTAAAAAGTTTAATTAGGTTAGTAGCTTTAATGACATTTTAACCTATGCTGGATCGATCTATATCAAGTAATCCTTTAATTTTTACTTTATATTTTCTTTTCTTTTAACACAGAAATAAATATATACTTGTGTATCATGTGACTTTTGAAGACCAAATTTTGAAGCTAATTTTAAGGGGGTCACATCATACATGAAATATAAAATTAGTGTATGTACTGCTGGCTCTGGCTATGCTATTGACCAAACTGTAGTCAGTTGTTGAGATTAAATAGGTATCTGCTGATGCATTAACATTTTGGAATAATGCAATAATAAAAAATTTAAATTTCATCTCTCTGATGGATGTTGCAATCTGTTAATTGAAACATATTGTCCTTCAAGCAATTTTAAAACCTAATAAAAGTAAGTCCATTGATGTAAAGTCAAAGTTTAGCACTAGTCAGTCGCTAAGCTTGTCTTCATCCCATGTTATTCTCAGTGACAAGTTATATAGGCTTTCTCTTGCACTTATGCAAATTAGGCATATTAATTTGCCAGTGTCACTACATCTCCCTGAAACGTATAGGTTTTATACCTCGAGTAGTTCTTGTACTTCTTCTCGTGATAGTTTCATTACTTTGCTCTACTTCTCTCTCTCCCGTATTTCTTTTTCTGGGAGACCTAGATCTGTCCCGCGCTAAGCTGTAATCATAGGCATCTTCTTGCATTATTTGATCTTTGTTCGAACTTTCAAACTTATTCTGGCACACTAGATCCTGCATTATTTCGTCTTCTGATATTTCATTCTGTAACGGTTGTTCTAATAAATCATTAACGGATGGAATCATAGACATTTCTTCATCATTTTGCTCTTCATATTCACCCTGGGTCCTTATTTGATCTGCATGGGCTAATAAAATTTTGCCATTTTCTCTATTTATTATAGCTGTATTGTAGCCTTTTTTTGCATGATAAATTCTGCCCTTTCCGGTTTGCTTTTTTGTTCTTTTTTGTACCACATTTTTTCATTTGTGAATACTTACATCGTTAGCAGAGCTCTAATTTGTCTTCCCATTAAAGCTGATGGGCTTTCTAGCCTTCCAGCATGTGGTATTGTGCGATAGCAAAAGCAACCCTAGGTAGAAAAACTTCTACTTTTTCTTTTTGCTGAGAGCATGCTTTTAGTCCCGTTTTTACGGTCTGCACCATTCTTTCCGTTAACTGAGGGTGATATGGGGGTGTCTTATACGGTTTACATCCTATTTTTTCTAACCATAAATTAAGATCTTCATCACAAAATTCTGGTGTGTTGTCAGATACCTGGGTTTTTGGTATGCCGTTTCTGGAAAATATGACCCTTAGAATCTGTTTTATTGTAGAATTTTATTGTCTGGCACCCAGATTATTTCAGGCCAGCCTGAAAAAGAGTCTACTAGAATTAATAAGAGTCCCACTCCAGTAATATACGCATGATCCATATGCACCCGACTCCATGGCTCCACTTCTCTGGATCACAAATGTAAAGTAGTCTGTGTAAAGTTTCTTAATTCTTTACATTTTTTGCACCTTTTTATATATTCTTCGACATCTCTTTAATATCCCGGCCACCATGCTTATAATTTTATCCTTTTTTGTGTGGCTGCTACTCCACAGTGTATATCATCATGTATACTTTTTATTACCAATTTTCTTTGTGTTTCTGGGGGAACTACCAGATCCCCATTACAAATCACTCCATGTTCTATCATTAATTTCTGTCTTATTTCTTTGTAAGGTCTTTCCGCCCTAGAACAATTTCCCCATGAGTTTTTTCTTATTCTCGATATTATCCTACTTAGTACTGGATCATGTCTAGTTTCCGCAGCCATTCTATCTAAAGACAAAACATCAGTCTCTACCCAATGTAAGAATGCATCTTCAAATTCTTCTGTTTTGTCTTTTGACTCCTTGTAAAATCACAATCTTGATAGTGCATCTACATGTGGAATTGAATTTCCTTTGACATATTCTATATCAAAGTCAAATGCCATCAATCTTATTGCCCATCTTAGTATCCTCGATGTTGTGACTTTGGGTAATTCTTTCCTTGGGTTAAATATAAACTCTAATGGTCTATGATCACTTCTTAAGAAAAATTTTTTCCCAATTAAAAATTGTTGGGCTCTCGTAGTTGTCCACACAATAGCCAATGCTTCTTTCTCTATATTTGAATAATTAAATTCGGTGTTCATTAGTCTTCTTGATAAATACATTATCAGATGTCCTTCTTGCGATAATATTCCCGATATCAAATGTTCGCTTACATCTGTGCTTAACGTAATGTCCTTTTTTGGATCAAACATTTTCACTACTGGTTTCTTTGCCATAATTACTTTTAATCTATCAAAAGCTTTTTGTTGTTCCTCTTACTAAATAAATTCAACATTCTTTTTTCTTAAATTTGCAAACAGTTCAGTCAAGTCCGTGTATTTTGGTAAATATCGCCTGTAAAAATTCACCAATCCCAAAAAAGACTCCAGTTCTTTTTTATTTGTAGGTGTAGCTACTTTTTTTAATTTTTTCTATCAAGGTTTGATCTGGTGATATACCTTCTTTTGAAATGGAATAACTTAAAAAAGATATTTTACTACAATTGCTTACGTATTTTTTCTTGTTTATTGTCATTCCAGCATTTCTTAATCTATTCAAGATTATGGCGGTTTTCTTTTTTAATTCATTTTCATTAGTAGCTCCTATGCATATATCGTCTAGGTAACAAATCATATTTTTCATATTTTCTAAAACATGTTGGATGGCCCTTTGAAATATGGCGCTTGCGATTTTTATTCCGTATAGCATCCTTTTCCATCTTAGTAACCCTATTGGCATATTTATTGTGGTTACTTCTTTGAAGTTATCGTCTATTGGTATTTGGTGGTATGCCATTTTTAAATCTATTTTTGTAAAAACACTCATTCCTGCCAGTGCGTGTAATGCAACTTCAACATTCGGATTTGTATATGAATCCGAACAAACTTTGTGATTTACGCCTATTTTGTAATCTCCACAAATATGTAAATCATCATCTGTCTTTCTCAAAACTACAATGGGTGATACCCACTTGCTACCCCCAGGGGGAACATGTTCAAGAAGGTCTTGTTATTAATTTTTGTAGTTTTGTTACTACTAATGGCAACAAATGTACTGGTAATTTTCGTGCCTCATAATAAGAGGGGGAGACATTTTCTTTTAATTTTAAACTCACTTTATAGTTTTTTAACTTTCTGGTTTTTTCCATTTTTATCTCATTAATTAATTTGGTAGAATTTATGTTAAGCACGTCGTTTCCAAGAAGTCCGTGGTTCTTTTTACAACTTGTGACAATTATAGGTATTACTTCAAATTTATCTTCTAATTCCAAGGAATCTTCAAAGTATCCTAAAGTTTTTATGACTGACCCATCAAATTGGCAGAGTTATAAACTGCTCTTTCGTAAAGGTGGCTTTCCAATGTGGTCCCCAAAATTTTTGGTATCGGCATTACTTCACTCCCAGTATCAATTTGCATATCTAAATTGCAGTTGTTGATTTTAACCTTTAGTATAATGTCTTTTTTCTTTTGTTCAATTTTTTCTATATTATTTTTTAATGTGAAGACTTCCATATTGGTTTCGTTTTCTTCAACTCTTTCAATGTTTTTCTTTTTGAATTTGCATACTGCTTGAAAGTGGTTCTTTTTTAAGCAATTTGTACAGGTTTTTCCAAATGCTGGGCATTTTTCCCTTTTTATTTCATGTTCACATCCACAATACGAACATTTTCTTATCTTTTTTAATGTGTATGTATCAGCGAATATTTGTTCGCTGGGTTGATTTTTTGATGGTTGTATTTCTGTATTAATTCTTGTTGCTGTATAAAGTCAATGCATGTATTTAAAGACATATTTCCTATTTGTAGTTGTTCCATTATTTTATATCGGTATGATGCATTGCACATACCTTCAATTAACCTTAATTGAATCAAGTCCTCTTCAATAGTCTGTTCATCTTGTCCGAGTTTTTCAAATTCGCAATATCTACTCGCATTTCGTAGACGGTGTAGATATTTTATAATTGGTTCATCAGTTTCTTGTTTCATCGACATGAACTTTCTGCCACTACCAGCCTTTTCTTGGGTCTCATATTTCTTCTTATAATCTGACTTATTTTTTCGAAAGTCAGGTCTTCCAAGTTTGTGGGATATGCCATGGTGGAAACTTTCATTATCGCCTTGCATCCAGCTGTAGCCAAAAATAAATCTGTAATTTCATTTTTGCCTCCCTTCTCCTTGTTGTCTTTCAGCTTTTTACTTCTTGCACTGGCAGAAAAACAGCGAATCCATGCATCCACGAAATCTGAATCTTCTAGAGACAAATGGGATCCTATCAGCGATGCCATTGATGTGAAGTCGAAGTTTAGCACTAGTCAGTCACTAAGCTTGTCTTCGTCTCATGTTATTCTCAGTGACAAGTTATATAGGCTTTCTCTTGCACTTATGCAAATTAGGCATATTAATTTGCCAGTGTCACTACATCCACAAAGCATACATGCAGATAATATTTCTATTCTATGAAAGAAGTCACAGATAAAAAGTCATAGGAAAAAATTGCAGAGCTCATGAGAAATTAATAAATCATAATAAAATGCATACAATTATAATACACTTCATTGTATTTTATTTCTTTATTTCTATTGTAATGTTATATTAGCAATGTCTGATAAGAATATGAGACTACATTTTTCATATGTAAAATAATTGTTTATTCACTTTATCAAATTAATGTTGGCTGTGTAGATTGAGCATTCATATAACTCTTTATCATCTAGTTGTCTTGTGCATGGATATCTTAAGTTCAGCTAGGTTAACTTCCTGTTTTATGACAGCGCAGCCACTAACATCTTTTGAAGCCTGATTCTATACTTGGTGGCTACCCTATAGGTTAACCCATTGAAACACCTAACTTTTTTGATGTCCTGATCTAACACCAAGTACAAAGCTTACTTTAGTATCTCTTAGGGTGAGCCCATTGCATATTGGGGTCACCACAGATCAACTCTTTTAAGATCAAAGGTTCCTGACTGACATTCAAATCAATTCATACCTCTGTGATTTCATGGCATTAATCACATATTGCACTATAAACAAGCAACATGAAACATTTCCAGTAATAATAATAATCTGAGTAAGATGCAAATAAAAATTGAAATAGTAACAAAATCAATTTCACTTCTTATTTGTTAATCATTGTTGGTTGATTGCTTATCAATGTTTTTCAGAATTATAGTTGGCATGTCTTTTAAAACTGACAATTTAAAATTTTTTTTTTGCTACGATAATTTAGATTTTCATCAATTAGTTGTGTGTGAACAAAATAAAGTAGTGAAAATGAAATACTTTGGATTTTTCAGTTTCTTTAAATTCTAGAAAAGCGATATTATTAATTTCCATTTTAGATGACACTCCATAATCATTGCATTTTTGCTCATTTGAACCAATTTCTTATTCTTTTCATGAATTTAAAGTATTTGTTTTCTCTTACAGGTGATACTATATATCTGGCCCAGGAAATGTTCTGGAAATATCGAGATGTGACAAATTTCATCTTTTCTAAAAACTTACCAGTTTATCCTAACAGAATAAATAAGTGGAAAAATTTAGTAAATACTTTTTAAATACAAAAAGAACTTTATAACCAGTATTTCCTCATTCTCAAATGATGTATTTTAATAGGATGCTGGGTAGAATTTTAAATAGTGAAGAAATTTGTTGATTTTATTGAAGTTTGAAAAATCTGATGCAGACTTGTCACTGGATAAAAATATGAAAGTTTATAATTGTTTCTTCATAGTAAAATTGCTTAATTATTTTCTAAGATGATACTACCTTTGTTCCATAATAATTGTTATATTCCATCTTCATATTTATGTCAGTGGAAAATTTCTAAATAATATGAGGTGTCTTAAAGTAATAATGTGACATGTCTTAAAGTAATAATATGAGGTGTTTTAAAGTAATAATATAAGGTGTCTTAAACTAATAATGTGAGGTGTCTTAAACTAATAATGTGAGGTGTCTTAAGTAATAATATGAGGTGTCTTAAAATAATAATATGAGGTGTCTTAAAATAATAATATGAGGTGTCTTAAAATAATAATATGAGGTGTCTAAAAGTAAACTGTTCAAAGATAGGCAACACTGAAATTTTCTTCTGTTTATTTATATATATATATATATATATATATATATATATATATATATATATATACATATCTACAGGTATAGGATATGTGTATATAGAATAAATTCCAATAACCAACAAATACCATTCTTAAATGAGTGCTCAATACAGGGTAGAGCAAATATAATTATTTATTCAAAAATTATAACATAAATACGTTATAAAATCACTACAAAAATAGCCATTTTGTTTCAACACTTCTGGCGTTTTACCAAGCGATGGTGTTTTTTTGTAGTGATTTTATAACATATTTGTTATAATTTTTTAATAAATAATTATATATATATATATATCAGTGATAATATTAGATTACATTTTCTTTGCACTACAAACATTATTTAATCATTTCATCCCCAGCAAGGCAATAAACTCATTAAGTTACTGAGTGTGAAAAATATGTGAAAAAGGAAAACATTATAAAGGAGAGAGAATGATAAATGAATAGGAATTAATTTTTGAAGATAAAAATTGATTGGGAAGGAAGAAGCCGGAAGAGAAGTCCAAGCGAGAAGTGCAAGAGAAGAAACTGTTAGCATACAACTTACAATTACATCTAGCCATTTCATCTGTAAAATGATGAGACCTACCTGCCAATCTAGTACTGTGTTTAAATTTGTACTCAAATGGGTATAATTTCTATAAGATTAGGTGTCTGAATAAAGAAAAAAATTCTCATGGAAACCAGCTACCAAATAGCATTAATTTTAACCCTGGTACTATGCAAGATAACATTAATTTTAACCCTGGTACTATGCAAGATAATATTAATTTTAAGCCTGGTACTATGCAAGATGATAAAAATATGTTTACATGTCATTTAAATTAAATTTTATTTAATTAGTGGCTGCAAGCAGTGGATTTATATGTTGCTGAATTTTCATTGAGTTCATCTTTTATTTTGTTTTTATTTATAAATATAACAATTATTTTGTGACAAATCTCATGCACATGGAACAGAGATAGTATAATTGAAGGAAAGATGTCTTTTTTATTATCTATTCAAAGTTAAAGTAGTTTCATTGTGATGAATAGTTTTCTGTGAGGAAAAAAACAATTCTCTCTTTTTTTTTTTTTTTTTTAAATTGTGAGACATTTTTAGACTGTTTATTCTGAGAACTGTGATTTTTTTTTTTTTAAATTGTGAGACATTAATAATTACTGAAAAAATAAAAACTCATTTCTTCCTCTGATGTATGATTGCAAGAAATTAAAATTTAAAGATATTGATTTTAATTTCAATAAAAATATTTGGTATTCCAGTAAAAATTTGTAAAAAAATAAAATTAAAAGATTTTTTTTTTTTATAAATATTATTTTCATAGAAAAATTTCCATGACGTGCATAAAAAGATTATTGTATTTTTCTTAAAAAAACTGAAAAAAAGTCTTTAAAATATATACTGTTTTAAAATTTTTTGTTTATATGATTTTCTCTTTTAAAAATTTAAGTGTAGTTTTATACAATCTTAATTATTTGACTAATTAAGCACTATCTTTAGCAAACTTGAAACTGATTACTGTTTTACATGTATCCCTTATTTTATAATCTTTAAAAATTATAAACTACTGTTAAAGAAGACTAATTATTTAACCCTCTTCTACCACATGTGAAATGAGTAAACATATATAAAAGCTGTAACTTGAAAAAAAAAGGTTTTAAATTAAAATACCTTTGTTATACATAAGATATTATTTAACAGTGAAATATTTCACACATTTCAAACAGAAGATAGCTAAATAAAGAGTTTTGTTTTCATTTAACTTTTAACACACTACTTTATTTTTCATTGCATTGTTTTTCAAGGCACCTCTATTACACTACTTCATTTCAGTCATGTTCAGTTTCTGTTGCCATAGCAGGATATGACAACACAACTGTAAAATTCAAACATGCTATCATTCATTCATCAGAGTTATCTGCAGTGGTAGGATAAAATATGTGCTTTGCAAGCAAAATCACCACCATTATGTTAAAGGTTGATTTCTTCTAGATGAGTGGGACATGTAAAATATATTTAAAATATTTATTTATCAGCATTGATATTTTGCAATACAGTACTCGGTAATACTCTACCTCGAGTGGCACTTGGGTAGACATCATAAAAATAAACATATTTATCCTACAAAGGAAAAAAATGTGCATTTTTTTAGAATGGAGAGAAATATACAAGTGAATATTTTTAAAGCAAAATTTCAGGGTTCAAATAAACAATTTTAATGCAGATATATATTTTTAATTACATTGCTTTGGTCAAAATTCTATATTTAACTATAGCAGCTAAAACAGTTAATAGCTATTTTGAGATGAAAGAATGGGACAATTTCTGACATAGCACAAAATTCATTGGATTATACACCAGTAAAAGAAATCACAAAAAAAACGAAGATCTTAAAAATGAAGTTTATTTCCTTTACAGAACTAATCTATAAGATGTTTGCTCAAATCTTACTATGATGCATTGTCATTATTTTATGAATTATTTAGACTAATATTCTCATCTTTGTGGCTTGGATGGACAAACAAAAATTTAGGAAGGGTCATTCTCTTCCATGTGCACTGATCACTGTAAAAGCCTATATGGGATAGGCAAGTCATAGAACAATGGTTGCAAATGAAGATTTGGCAACTATAGGTAACTCAGTTTTATGGCACACACTCAAAAATATATATATATATATATATATATATATATATATATATATATATATATATATATACTTCTGTATATCAAAACCATATTGGATAACTGAATAACAAAATGTAAAAATTCTATGTAATGCATTTTAATTTCCTTTTAAACGACGAAATGCATTACAGAGAATTTTTACATTTTGTCATTCAATTACCCAGTGAGTGTATATATATATATATATATATATATATATATATATATATATATATATATATATATAATTTCAAAGGAATCTCATTATTCTTCAGAATGGTTTGCATTTAATTATTCATTGAGTTTAGTTGTTGCTTTCCCATTTCATGGTACAATTATTCTTGTGCTAGACATATATATATATATATATATATATATATATGTGTGTGTGTGGCAAATTGATGTCTGAGTCTGGTGAGGTCTGGTAAGCTTTTGGACACCTACTACAAGAAAAATTGCACCATGAGATAGGGAAGCAACAACTGAACTAGGTGAATAAATGGATGCAAACCAATCTGAAAATAATGAGATTCCTTTGAAACCATATATATATATATATATATATATATATATATATAGTACAGGTAATGGATCCCTTGGTATATAATCCAGGTGGATCCTAGTAATATTAATTATTAAAACTGATCCACAGAGAGCTTGATGTATTTATAATAACAGAGCATATGTATTTTTTTTTTTTTTTGCAGTAAAAGACCAAAAATTACCTCAACATGGGGATAGTCTATTTCAAGCCGGTCTGTACACAGCTATCATCAGCCACTAAGTGTTTGTCTTGAAGCATTGTTTTAAATTTATTTTCAATGTCAGTCCTCCTCTGGTAGATGCCTTGTTAATGAGAATGGGCTTGTGTTAGCGACTGGTGGAGGGCATAAGGTATCTTATTCTGGTGAAACGGTCTGGGGTTGGAGTTTATTTATAGCTAGAGCCTTTCATTGTTTGTAACTAAATATTATTTTCTTATATGTGGAGTTTCTTATACAAGCCCCCAGTGTATTTTCCTGGGATTCGCAGTAAATAGTTTTTATACTACAAGGGTCCAATATTATTAATGATAGATTTAAACATTGTGGGTAATACCAGAGCACCCAATCTATAAATCTATCATTCAACTAATTTACATTAATCTTAACAGGTTTAAGTTTAAATCCCTCATCACTTACAGACTGGCTTGAAATAGACTATCCCCATGTTGAGATAATTTTTGGTCTTTTGCTGTAAATAAATAAATAAATAAATATAATATATATATATATATATATATATATATATATATATATATATGGGTAACTGAATGACAAAATGTACAAATTTTCTGTAATATATTTTGTCTTTTACAAGTATGTTAAAATATGTTACATAGAATTTTCCATTTTATTATTCAGTTACCCAATATGGTTTTGATATATAAAAGTCAATATATACTATTCTCTTATATATACAAAGGCATTGACATTTTGTGTCTTGAATTCATCTATTGTCTTTGTCCAACTGAATCATTTTCCACAATTCTGGCTGCTGTAGGTATAAAAATATAACTGAAATCAAGGTGTCTAAGCTTTCAACTTATATTGTCTATCTTCTGGGGTGTGTAGTGAGTAAAGTAAACAAAAATCAGATGTGTTTTAAGTAGCTCATTTTTTTTTTTAAAGTATCATTGTATTTATTACTTTACTTTTTCACAATCCTGAAGATGACTCATACAAGTCAAAAACTTGGACACAGCTTGGCTTTTGGTTATTTTTTTACATCTACATCTGCAGCAGCCAAGTTAGTGGAAGACAATTCAAAGTTTGGTAAAGTCAATGCATAAGTTCAATCAACATAGAATATCTATCTTGTTTAATACCATATATACTTGAGTCTACTGTGAGTTAACTAGTACATGTGTTGTTTAATTTTGTTCAACAATTCGTCAGGAAGTTGATTAAATGGTTGCTTAATGTTTTTATGCTTGCAACTAATGTAACTAAACTAATAAAATTGGTTGAATTCTTGAATATAATGTAAACTAACAAATTTTATAAGTCATTCTTTTCAATTTTATGCTTTTCTTTTCTCATTTTTGGTTTTAATTGTGTAATCTTCACTGATGTCAGTAGTGAAGTTACTTATAAAAATTGTATATATTGAGATGCTTGATTTTTTAATAATTATTTCATGGAAACCAATGTTGCTAGGCTACAAATTATTAGGAAAAGATCAGTTTAGGCATAAGAAGACTAATACAGTTAAAATTGAAAATACTAATAGATCAATTTAGGTATAGGAAGACTAATACAATTAAAATTGAAAATTCAGATTTATCTGATGACAGCCTGTTTTTTCATATTATTTTATGATACAGGTAAACAAAATTTGGTAAAGTCAATGCATAAGTTCAATAATACTTTTTTTTATTTTATTTTCTAAAGAAATTCTTGTCATATCCTACATTTTTTGAATGTGTCAAGTTTTAGAGTGATAAGATTTCTCAAATGTATCATTAGCTTGTAGAAAGTTAAAAACACTGATTAAAACTTTGCAATAAAAAGAACAAAGATAAGGATATTGATCTGAATTATTTGTGAAGGAAAAAAGAATGATCTCTCAGAGTTTTCTTATTTTTATTTTGTTTTGTAAATTGATAATAAAGTTTTGAATAATTATGTGATGCCAATTGATACTCTAAATGGTTTTCTTGTTAATAACTGCATCAAATAAATCCCTCATTTTTTGCCTAAACAGATAATGATTTTGTATAGTTTGGGAATAAAGATTTATGTATTTTTTTATTTGATTTGTAAATATTCAAGGCAATATCAGTTTATTATTTTATGATATAAAAAAATCTTATTTTGTGCCTTAAATATACAATGATATTGTGTGATTTTACAAAAAACACTTTTCAGCAATTGTTGACAATTTCTTATTTTAACTATACCACCACCCGATGGTCATGTTCAACAAAATTTGTTTTTGTTTTTTTTGTTACATTAAATTTCTTGTTTACACTAAATGACAATTTTTTTTTTACTCAGTTTCATCCTGTGCAAGGAAGTAAAGCCACTAAGACAGAAGGGGTTACTGGGTGTGGAAGAATTAGGAACAGAAACATTAATAATGAATGGGAAGAGAAAAAAGTAATCCGGAGGGCATCTGAATGATTACCATGAAAGTATTTATAAAAAGGACAGAGAGGCAACCTTAAGGTAGTGGGAAAGTGACTGAAGCTGAGCTGTCAGATCAGGACCAATAATATTGCTGATTCTTTGATTTATCAAGGAGCTGAAGGTAAATAGCATGGACACCAGACCATATGTGACAGCAATCTTCTAAGCATGGGCAAATTGTAGACTTATAGATATGTAAATTAAAATTAAAATTTTGTACACCAAACAGTATTGAGACATTAGATGAGTAAGATTTTAAGCAAAAAATTGTCTAAAAATTTGTTTGAAATATTTACATTTTCATTACCTATTTAAAAAGGCCACCATATTTGAAATATGGCAGCCTGTCATAAAATATGACAAAATTTTAACAAAGTAGGTTTTTATCTCTGGGATGGCATGGCATAAAAATTTTTCCCATATAAATTATTGGTAATTTCTTTATACCATTTTGATTATGATGTATTTTATAGGAATTCTCTACATTTGAAGATAGTGGGAGAATATCATCAATTGGCAAAGTTTAACTTTAGACCATTCAAAAATAAAACAATGTGTCAAAAGGTCATTTTTCTCTACACCACTATTACCACATACTCCTCAGTAAATTTTATTATTTTATAAAAATATTTTTAGAATTTTAATAAAACCATAACAAACCTAACTTTCTCATATAGTAACTAATAAATTTCATTATAGTTTATGAATAATCAAGAGTGGTCTCCCCTTGTTTTGTTTACACTCCTCTCAGAGCTATTTCTGTTTACTGGGACTATAAAAGGACACTATATGCAAACCTTGTATTCTCAGTTGAATAAAGCTTTCTTAAAGCCTACATCTGCAAACTTTTGTCAATACAAGTTTGTCCACATATTTTTTATAATCTTGTAAATATAAAATTATTCTTATAGTGAACTAAAAGAATATTTTTATAATCTTGTAAATAAATAATTTACTGTTATAGTTTGCATATTAAATTAGATATTCTTAAAAAAATGTTGTCACGTCTTTATTTTATAATTTAGTAAATAATTTTTTTTTTTAATCATTTCATCCCATGTAAGGCAGTAAAGCCACTAAGACACAAAGGGTTACTGGATATGAAAGAATAAGAAAAAAAGGGAAACTATTATAGATTGAGAACAATAGAAGAGTAATCAGGAAGACAGTAGATAACAATTGATATTGTATTTAAATTTTTGAAGATCAAAATTGGCTGGAAAGAATTCCACATATGAGAAGTGTTAGAAAATAAAATCTTTTTTTTTTTTTTTGCCTGGTTCTAAGTTAAACTTTGCCTATCAATGTGTTTCAATAGTCTATCTGATTGTCTCAGCAAACAAAATTATAATCTAGTCAAACGTTTAATGAATTTCATTGATCCGGAAATATATTTCAATATTTAATTCACACTGGAATGTATCAGACAAACTAAACGGAACATTAAGTATCAGCAAGAAACACATTGATAAAAATAGCTGACTCATATCTTGCTGAATTCATGTAGAACAAAAACTTTGGTTGATCAATCTGAAACTAGAATTGTCGCAGGTAGAATGAAAATTCTTTATTACAGAAATTTAACCATGTAAATTTTTTATTATAGAAATGAGTCTGTATATATTGTCAGATAGTCTGATTAAAAATGAATTACAATCCAGAGAAGATTGGGGGAAGGCTTGAGATATTTTGTAGAATCAAAATTTTCTTTAATAATTATCTATCTATCTATCTATCTATCTATCTATCTATCTATCTATCTATATCTTATATAGTTTTTCATGAATTATTTTTTGGGAAATGTTTTACTAGGGGACTTATTAAAAGTCGAAAGAAAAGGAATTTCTTTATTTCTTTTCTCTTTTTCTATTTTTAATTGACCTTTCTAAAAATTAATCTGAAATTTATGTTGGGTAAAATTTGTATTTTTGCGGATGCTAATAAAGAAAACTTTTTGAAAATAAGATGATGTTTTTTGTTATTTTTATAATATTTAATTTTAGGTTGGTATTTTTCATCTTATTAATCTTTGAATAATATTTCTTTCATCTTAATTTTAGTTGCTTTATTTACTCTAGAAGTAATATTGAACTTTTATTAGATGAAGCCTTGTCGACCATTATGAATCTATGACTAGTATTTTGTCCATTTTAATTTTAGTTGATTTTTATTGCAGCTATTCCGTCTTCACTCATTAAAAAATGTAGATCAAAAATAAAGAATAAATTTCAAGCTGGACTTGAAGTTGCGTCCCTTTCACCTCAAGAAACCTGTTTGTGTATGAAATGCTTGTCTATCATTTATGCTACTGGATTCTTCCATATTGTAAAAAATCAATGTTATCATATTGATATGTCCTTTATTTATACTATCCCCTCACCTATACTATTAATTCCAGATCTAAATCCAGTGCCTTCTAACTCCTTTTGGAGACATTGGTTGGCATCAGCCACTTCCTATCTCTGCGCATAGTGCACCCTGTGGGGCTCAGGAATCCGGTCAGATTATCACTCTCTCTTTGCCTTTGGCTGCTCTCTATTTCTTTTCAACTACCCTGATGTCATCTTGGCCACTCTAGTAGTAACCAGCCCATCTATATTTGCCACCAATTAATTACAGCTACTAATACTACTACTTCTTTTATGTACTGTGTGTCTTTGAAATAATATTAGTTGGATTAATGATATATAGTGACATCCTAAGCTTAGGTTAGATATGTCACAAAGCTGAACTTATGATTTTCTTAGTATAGCTTAGATGTGGCACAAGGCTGAAAGCATGGAGTACTCACTACTCGCTCATAACTGATCTAGCAAAACAAGCTTGCTAACTATTACATCACACTGAAGTGTCTAAATAGGGATTTTCTAAGCATAGCTTAGATGTGCCAAGTTTGGATCCCCCATTGAGGATCAAACTCGCTACTCAGTTGTAATTGATTTAGTTACACAAACTTGCTAACCATTATATTATTTTTTCTAACGCTTATATTATTCTTGCCCCAATGATTTTCTATGCATAACTTAGATGTGGCACAAGGCCGTAAGTATGGAGCACCCAGTGAGGATCAAACTTACTGCTTGTGCCCATGGATTAATGATATATATTTGAGGTACATTAACTAATGTGTGAGGTTTCATTCAGATTTTACTATTCAGTTTTTACAAAGGAAATGAACATCTTTTTATTTTTTTTTCTCATCAACAAAGTAGTTTGGATTAAAAGTAAAAAAATGAGTTTAAATATTTCAACTATTCTAGAACAAAAGACATCCTCCCAACTTTTCTTTTTATAAATAGACTTTTCCAAAATGGAATAACACCAGACTAAATTCCTCAGCCACGAGAGCACAAAAGGAAGAAAGTATTAATTGTTCTTTTTTGTTATTTATCTGGCTAAGGAGCTTCTACTGAAGAATTCTGAGAATACTTTGGACTGAATAAAGTTCTAGAGAAAATGGAAACAAATAGGAAAATTATACTTAACATGAAGAGACAGTTCAAATTTCTAGGATCCATAAAGAAGGGAGGAAGGCTTGAAGCTAAACAAAATATTAAGAAATAAAACTTTGTGAGAAATAAAAAAAAGAATACTGAACTGTTACATGATATATGTGCTCTAATAAAGCAATGTAATACTGGACAATCTTATAGATGAAGAAGAGACTTGAAGCAACAAAAATGTGGTTCTACAGAAGGATGCTGAGAATACCATGAACTAAAACATGTTAGCAACAACAAAGTTTTAGAGGAAATGGAAACAAAAAAGGCGCTTATAATTAACATCAGGAAGAGACAATCGAAATTTCTAGGGCACATAAGGTAAAAAGGCTTGGAAGATGTTATACTCACAAGACTGATGGCAGGATAGAGCAAAACAATGCATAACCTACCTAGCGAGCTTGAGTAAATGGATGGTGGAACAAAGTTTAGAAGAAATAACAAAAAGAAAAAAATCATTAAGGGCTACAAAGGATGGAAAATTGTGGAGAGCCATGATTGTAAATGTCTGGAAGAGACACATCACATAGGAGAAAAGGTTAAGGGGCGATAACTCAAATTTGTTTGAGCTATGAAATAATTATAATGCGATTGTGTGCCCTTGCAGTTCATGAAAGTGATTGCTTTCAGAAAAAAATATCCTTTTTAGGAGCAGCATCGACGCAACCATGTGCCAGACTTGTTAAATTCCATATTGTGAAATGACTTACATAAGTAAATGGATTAGGGCACCTTGGCATGGTGTAATGGTTAGCAAGCTTGTCTCACTAGATCAGTTACGACTGAAAAGTGAGTTCGAACCTCACTAGGTGCCCCATAATTCTGGCCTTGTGCCACATCTAAGTTACATTTAGAAAAATAGCCATGAGTAAATGGATTAAAAAATATCAATCTGAAATCAAGAGAATGTCTTTTTTGTGCTGGAGGGGTCAATATTTAAATGTAGATGATGATCCCTTTGAAAGTTAAAAATAAATTCAACGGCTTTTTACAGTTAGTACCATCTTGTGGCTACGTGGTTATGGGAGAATGGTTTTCACAAGTACTCATCATTTCTTTGTCAACCATTGCAACATATCAGAGATGAGATTTTTGTCAAATATATCTGGCATTTAGACAAGGTATGGGATGTGGACTCATGCCTTTTTCGAGGATATAAAGTTTGTGAACATAAGTAGCCTTGACTGACTGTCAATGAGACAGGATGCAGGGAGAAATCGATTCATGACTTTCGCAAGGAATTTTTATATGAAGAAAATATAATCCAGAATTTGAATCCTGTTAACTGTTTCCATTTTCTTTACTAATAAATACTATCAAGACGTAGGTGATTATGGCTCTCCATAGTTAGTCCTTTCTTCTTGCTTTCCTTTACTATCTTTAGTTTAATTTTCATAAGGTTACCATAAACACAGTATCTTCTGTATGTCTTTTGCTTTTAAGACTATTCTAGCATCATAGTGATACTGAAAAAGTTAGATGCAAATGAATGCAAACATCTTGGACAATCAGCTTAATGGGCCATATAAGCAAGTTTATAATCATAATTCTAATGAATATAGCTCATAATAGAATTTGACTGGAAGTAAGCCTCCAAAAAAGTGCAGCCTTGTTCAAGGCACTGGAAAAAGAAATGCTATTGATCAAAATGCTGTAAGAGTGAGCAATATATATATTGCCCATGCTTGATTCAAAAATCGTACGACTCATACAGCAATCACTATCACTTGACTTAAAATATTTTTGCCCTTCCTTGCCTTTAAAGGAGTGCCCTTTTCCGTGCTGATGTTGTTACATGCCTTACTTCTCACACTGCGAATTTTTTCTAAGATCTATACTAAACATTAAATCTGTTACGAAAAAAGAACTAAACAAAATGAACACAAAACGATCAGCTTTAAAAAAGGAATCGTAACTGGAAAAACCGAATGAAAAAAGAATGTTAACAACAAATACTTTTTCACATCCAACCCAGTTCTGCGGAATCAGAATCAATGTTGAGTTTAAGCAAGCGAATGAGCCAATTGGAGTAAAGTGCCATGCAGATTTAAATTTTTTCCACTTGTGACGAATGCAGCTATCGATTTTGTTTTGCATGCTAGTTAACATTCGTGTCAGTCAGCTGTTGACTCTCATGCTGGCCAATAGAATCTTCCTGCCTATTCGTGGCAGCCAGCTATAGGCTCTCGCTCTGGCCAGTACAAAATGGCCGCAAACTACATGAAAACTGCCGTAGAAGCATGAAAAAATCGATTCTTTCCACTATCGATGGCAGTTGGGAAATGCAAAGTCAGTCTTGGCGTTCCCTAACTTGGAACATGTGCATGTAAATTTTGGTGCAAATCCGTCGAAAATTGCGGCCGTGCATTCGTTACACACACACACACACACACACACACACACACACACACACACACACACACACACACAGACATTCTACCTTTTGTATATATATATATATATATATATATATATATATATATATATATTGTATTGAGCACTTTTTTATTATTTTAGCTGTTGGTACCTTTGATTGTGGTAGATGCTATTTTCAGTACACTAATTATTTTATTAGATGCTTTTGTCAGTACCCTAATTATTTTATATTCAATGTTTTGGTTTTTTTTAAGCATTTCAACCCAAGCAAGTCAGAAGTGCCATTATCACACAGGGGGTTATGGAGAATGAAAATGAGAGAAAAGAGTGGGTGTAGTGGGGGGATTGAAGAAAGGAAAAAAGAACAGGTATCAATGCAACAAAACATGGTGACTGAGGTTGCATTTAGGTTTTTGATGATTGTAGTTATCAGGGAAGCAAGTGAGAGGAATGGAGTTCCAATATGGAGAAGTGCGAGGAAAGAAACTGTTAGAAGGGCGGTTACATTTAACTATTTCAACAGTAAAAAGTTGGGACCTAGATGCCAATCTAGTAGTACACTTAAATTCATGTAGTCAGGGCACCAGGGAAAAAATGCTCATCTGTGCAGTAGCCATGAAAATATTTGTAGAAAAGACAGAGGGAAGCCACATCACGTCTGTGAGAAAGCGGCTGAAGTCAAGAAGCTAATTCAGTACCGATTACATTACAGATCCTACTTTAGATTTTTTTGAGAATATTGCAGTAAGGGAAGGTAGGGAAAAATTTTATGGATAAAACTTTAACTGCGCAACCAGTAATAAAAATCTCAAAATGCAATCTATATTGTTATTTAAACATCATCATCCTTTAATAGTAATATATATATATATATATATATATATATATATATATATAT